AAATTTCTTAAATATTAATTAAAATAAATACAATTATATCGGCCACCCTGCTTTCCAAGATATCGGCATCTGCTGTCAAAAAAAACAATATCGGTCGACCACTAATGGATGGATGGATGGATGGATAGATAGATAGATAACTTACAGTATAGAACATATAACGCATATGGACTTTTATGATACTTCGTCTCTAGAATAAGAATGTGCATCCTCCAGTTTAAATTAAATGATTTTTTTTTTCATGTGATCTTTATGTTTGCCTGCATTATATTCGGTGACAATGTACCAAAAATATTCAGTTTATCCATTTGTTGCATTTTTTTAGTTGCAGTTTTTACTTGCTGAGAAGCTTACCAATACTCAGATGTGGGATCTGCTCAAACAGGGTCCAGCTGTGGTCATCAATGCAGTGGTTCTTCAGGATGAACAGCTGGCATATGTCCCGGGCAGTGATGTCACTGGGCACCTCCACTGCACGGCTGGTGTTGTCTTCACTGTACACTTTGATTACCTGCAACACAGTAGAAAATAAATGAAACCAGTAAGAGGCTTAGGCTGCATTCAAAATTGAATACTAACTTACTGCTTACTAACTAACTAACTAAATAAATAAACAAATTACCATTCAAGATTTGGGGTTAAGATTTTCTAAATCTTTTTGAAAAGATGTCCCTTCTGATTACCAAGGCAGCACAAAAAATACATTAAAGTCAGTAATATTGTGAAAAGACTTTACAATTTCAACTAACTGTTTTCTAATTGAATATATTTTAAAATGTAATTTATTTCTGTGATGCAATACTGAATTTTCAGAATCATTACACCAGTCTTCAGTGTCACAGTGTCCTTCAGAAATCATTCTAATATGCTGATTTTTATCAATGTTGAAAACAGTTGTGCTTCTTCATATTTTTGTGGAAACTGATGATTTAGGATTCTTTGATGAATAAAAAGTTCAAAAGAACAGCATTTATTTAAAATACAAATGTTTTGTAACATTATAAATGACTTTACTGTCACTTCTGATTAATTAAATGCATCCTTGCTGAATAAAACTATTAATTTCGTTAAAAATAAAAACTGACCCCAAACTTTTGAACTGACAGACAGACAGACAGACAGACAGAGAAACCAGTAAGAGGCTTAGGCTGCATTCAAAATTGAATACTAACTTACTGCTTACTAACTAACTAACTAAATAAATAAACAAATTACCATTCAAGATTTGGGGTTAAGATTTTCTAAATCTTTTTGAAAAGATGTCCCTTCTGATTACCAAGGCAGCACAAAAAATACATTAAAGTCAGTAATATTGTGAAAAGACTTTACAATTTCAACTAACTGTTTTCTAATTGAATATATTTTAAAATGTAATTTATTTCTGTGATGCAATACTGAATTTTCAGAATCATTACACCAGTCTTCAGTGTCACAGTGTCCTTCAGAAATCATTCTAATATGCTGATTTTTATCAATGTTGAAAACAGTTGTGCTTCTTCATATTTTTGTGGAAACTGATGATTTAGGATTCTTTGATGAATAAAAAGTTCAAAAGAACAGCATTTATTTAAAATACAAATGTTTTGTAACATTATAAATGACTTTACTGTCACTTCTGATTAATTAAATGCATCCTTGCTGAATAAAACTATTAATTTCGTTAAAAATAAAAACTGACCCCAAACTTTTGAACTGACAGACAGACAGACAGACAGACAGACAGATAGATAGATAGATAGATAGATAGATAGATTACATGATCTTATCAATTTGCATGTAAAATTTAGCGAATGCCACCCATCCTTATTTATTTAATTTTTTTAATTGCAATTGTAAGCCAATTTGTGTAAAGCAGGTTGAGTTTTAGCAGGAAGGAGATGTTTACAAATGCTGATATTACTTAAGGTTCATTCATCATACTGAAAACAGAAGGTCAAATCAAACGCACTGCATTGTGGGATACATTACCCCATATAAGCTCTGTTGTATACTGAACATTTTAGCATATCTAGCACTGTAGGTCAAAAAAATCACATATGCACAGTATACACACTACATACTGCAGCAATAGTAAGAGCAGAAAGCAACTATGCTATTTCGAGCACAACCACATTTTTACATGCACGTTTATTTGTCACACTGCCATTTTATCAGATACAGTGACACTCCTTTATCGTCCCACGAGAGCTAAATTTCACTTCATGTCCTATATACAGTACAGTATGCAACAACCCGTTCATTCAAAGTGCAGACAGCCTGTGCTGCAGAAGAAGTCATGAATGTTCCCTTTCATCGGTGCTTTAGTTCCCTGCTACACCTCATATGCAGAAACCCTGCAGGCTGGAGAACTCAATATCATCTCCGAAACCTTGTTTTAAGGCTGTTAAGAGTTTCATTTATCAGCTTGAAATCGCTCTCAAATGATCCCACAGAGAAGCAGAGCAGCCCTTCAACGGATCGCATCGATTTCACACGCACACATACAAGAAAAGCACACATAAATTGCTGTTTCAGAGCAACTTACCCCTGTGCTGGGCGGCAGGCAGGGCTGTGATTTGGGACAAGCTCGGCTGCTTATGTAGGCCTGAGTGCACAGCATTTCTCAAGAGTTGAGTGAACATAAAACATAAACGCAAGTATCTGGCGGAGAGCAGCGAGCTTCCTCTCTCTCGGTCTCTCTGTCTGCAGACGAGCTCAAATGAGGTAATTAGAGAGAGCGGCTCAGTGCAGCCTCCGCTGCTGCATGTCACCATGGTTCTGTCCAATCACCTGCCACCGTTTATCCGGCGGGGGTGAGTCCCACTCATCTGCCCCCCGCGCGCACACACCGGAGGGGGAGGGAGGCAGAAAAGTCACAAGGTTTGCCCCACCTACCTATTCACACAGTCTTGACAGGCCCCTGCCCTTCACATAAATCCCAGCAAGCAATTAGAAAAGCGCTGGTTAAACGCGAGACCTGACGGGTCAACCCGGGCTGAAGGGAGGAGGGCGAGAGGGAGAGAGAAAGTGAGTGACACTTCTGATATGAGGTGGATTTTCATGTCCTCACTATGTATGTCAGGAAATTATATTCGTTTGTTCAGTTTAATCGCAATATTATAGGTGTAGTGCAAATAAAATGAAATGATGTCATTATTTACTCACACCTGTATGCAGTTGAAGAAATTTCTCCCTCTTTGCCAGTTTAATCGCAATATTATAGGTGTAGTGCAAATAAAATGAAATTATGTCATTATTTACTCACACCTGTATGCAGTTGAAGAAATTTCTCCCTCTTTGCTTTAGTCTTATTTTAATATTATTTATATGCATTACAGTATTTTGTAATATTCTGAATTAGCTTTAATTTATATTAAATTATTTATTTCCAGTATATTAAAATTTTTGTTTGAGGTGGATTTTCATGTCCTCACTATGTATGTCAGGAAATTATATTCGTTTGTTCAGTTTAATCGCAATATTATAGGTGTAGTGCAAATAAAATGAAATGATGTCATTATTTACTCACACCTGTATGCAGTTGAAGAAATTTCTCCCTCTTTGCTTTAGTCTTATTTTAATATTATTTATATGCATTATAGTATTTTGTAATATTCTGAATTAGCTTTAATCTATATTAAATTATTTATTTCCAGTATATTTAAATTTTTGTTTAAGTCTTAGTAATTTATGTGCTATGTGCTTTTGTCAGGTTTATTGTTGTTTTTAGATTTTTCTATTTAGCTTTAATTTATTTTTTAGTAGTTTTGTTGTACTTTTGTCATTTTTATTAGTTATTGTTTTTAACATTTTTATTTAGCTTTAATTTATTTGTATTTTTCAGTTTTACTTTTAGTAATTTTAGTACTTCAGCTTACGCTTGTTTCAGTTTAAGTTCTTTTTCATTTAAGTTTCAAATTTTTCCATGTAATATTTCTATTTTATTTTAGCTTTATTTCAATTAGTGTTGTGATGGTGAGGACATTTTCCCACCGGTTAATCAACGAGTGACAACACCGGTAATACCGGTATCACCGTTGGGGTGGGATGTTAGTTAGTTTGAGTTTCCCTCTTTTCTTGAGAAGGGTCTGGCTGCAGCTTGGCGCTTGCACTCTCAGACGTGCATTCTCAGGCTTGCACTCTCAGACACTTGCACTTCCGCTAGCGACGTCACTTGCAGTCTTTATTATTTTTTATTTTGTTCTATTTATTTATTCTTTTTGTTTGAATCTCTCAACATTTTACAACAGTAGCCAGGTGGTGAAGACAAGACAAAAGAAACTAAATTACGAAACTAAATTAAAAGAAACTAATATAATTAATATTTAATTATTAATTAAGCCACTTGCAATCGCCACTTGCACTCTCCGATACCTGCGACGTCACTTGCAATCGACACAAATCCTGTGTGTTGCCAATGGAGACAAGACGCTGTGGTGGTGATTTAATGATTAAAACTAATTTAGTACCGTAACCTACAGGGTCCTGCAAGAAAAAGACAAGACCC